CCCAGCTCATCCGGCGTCACATAGCTCCGGTGTAGCTCGAGCGGCTGGTCGCCCACGAGAATCGCCCTCCTCCTCCTCAGCATATACGTCACAAGTCGCTGTAGGATCTGTTGCCGTGCAGGCATGAGCCCCGCCAACACCAGGGATGCCTCAGTCGAGGTGAAGCGCTCGAGGCCGAACGCCATCCTGGCAGCGAGGGCCAGCGTCGAATCGAGGGAACTCAGTCGGTCCTGCAGACGTAACACTGAAGCCCAGACAGGAGAGCCAAAGAAGAGTCCTGGGAGGACGGCGCCCCGCACTAATCGCATAAAAAGACCAGGGCATAGCCCCCACTCGCACCCGACTATGCGCCGAAGCTGCCACAACCGAGCACGGGCACGTGCAATAACCTCGGTCAAATGTCTGTGCCAGGTGAGCCCCTCGTCAAACCATACCCCTAGGTACCGAACGGCCCTATCATGGGGTAAGGTCTCGCCATGGAGGCGAGCAATGAAAGACCCCCTCACTCTCACGTTCCGCCCCCTGAAGCATATACAAATACACTTTTGAGGGCTAAAGCGGATGCGGCAACGCTGCGCCCAGCTGTCAACCTCCCGGAGACCCCGTCTGAGCCTGAGGTCTATGAGTCCAGATCGGAACCTCACCGCCACCCAAAGGGCAAGGTCATCTGCGAAGCCCTGAGAACGCAACGCACGGATGCGCCCCAGGGACTGTAAAAGATCGTCAATAAAAATAAGAAACAGGGTCACAGAGAGGGGTGAACCCTGTGGAAGCCCGCACTCAGGCCTGACCTCCAACTCAGACTCCCCCACGCATAGCAGACACACGCGATCGGAAAGAAAGCTGCTCAGCCAGTAAACCATATATGGGTCCAACCCAATCCTCACAAGTTTCCGTACCAGCTCATCGTGCCAAACAGTATCGTACGCTGACTGAATATCCAATGTGATCGCCTGAACAATTTCGCCCCTCCTAAAGGCACTCACTATGTCCAGGGCCAATCTGGTGCACGCGTCAGTGACCTCCCGGCCAGCCCGAAAGCCATACTGGTGAGGGGCTAACACGTGAGTACGTTCGAGTGTTCGCATTAATCGAGTGTTCATCAGCTTTTCCAACACCTTCCCCAAGTTTGACAACAAGCTGATAGGTCTGTAAGAACGGGGACCTCATACGAATCTTTCCCAGGCTTGCGAAGTGCAATGACCCGGGCCCTACGCCACGCCCTAGGGAAGTACGAACAGGCAAGGGAGGCATTGCAAATCAGCAAAAGCCAAGGAATCAAAACCATCATGCATTTCTTCAGGCATAGAACAGACACTCTATCTAATCCCGGTGCTGCAGAAACCCTAAGTCGCTTAATCGTCCGGCGAAGCTCCTCACTGGTCACAGGCTCATGCTCCGCGGGGCCAGGTGGTCGATGCGTGGCCCAGGACGTATCCGGCTCCTCCGCTGGTAGGTCTGGCGATGCTGGTGGCAGCGGTGGGAAGAAAGTCTTGGCCAAAGCGGCGGCTTTCTCCCGGTCGGTAGATGCAGTCCCGCTCTCAAGTTGTAGATCCTCCACCCCACGGTCGCCCGCTGGACGGGTGGCCTTGCGGTAGAGGCGCCAGTAGTCGTCAGTAGACGTGGACTCGCAAAGCTGTCGCCACGCCTCTCGTCGTGCCTCTGTCAGTCGTCGCCGGAATAGGCTGCGGGAACGAAGGTACCTCTCTCTGTCTGTGCTGGTCCGGTAGCGCATCCAAAGTCGTCTGGCAGTCCTCATCTCGGTCCTCAGTCTCGTCAGCTCCGGTGTCCACCCCGCTCGCGAGTAAGAGCAGATCCGCTTAACTGGAACGCATGCATCCATGGTCTGCTGAATAGCAGCCGTCGTATGATCCACTGAACTGTCGATCTCCTCCGGGCCAGATAGAGGGCCCAGAGGGCTCCCACCCAGCCGCATGAGGAGCTGGCCATTGAAGGCCTCCCAATCTGTCTCCCGCCAGTTAAGAACCCGCCTAACTGCAGCACGGCGTGGTCCCAGAGAAAGTCGAGTGACCACTGGAATGTGGTCAGAGCCAACCTCCAAGTTCTCCATGACTCGCCATGAAACAACTCTGGACACAACAGTGGGGCTGCCAGCAGTGATATCAATCCAGGAAACCTGCCCTCTGTCCCCCCGAAAAGTGGGGGGCGAAGCACTGTTGTTCAGAACAATCAAATTCTCCTCTAATAAAATGTTTTCCACAAGTTCGCCAACTGCATTGAGCGGAATGCTCCCAGGCCCCCACAATGGTGAGTGGCCGTTGCAATCGGCGCACAACAAAATACCTTGTGCTCGTTCTCGAGCAATCCCAAGAGATTGGGAAAGCTCAAGGTGGCCCTCTCCCCTGGAATGTTGGAGATAAGCCGACAGAATTGAGCACGAAAAACCAGAAGCTTCGACTACCACTCCACACACCCGTATGCACCCCAACTCCAACGGAATGAAGCTAATGGATTCTTTGACAGCAATGGCCACTTGGGGTGGGGATCCCCTTCCGAAAAGAAAGCGAAACCCCCCCCACTTGCCTATTGGTAACTTGGCCTCCATTGGGGGGTCTTGTACAGCTACAATGGCCACCCCTTGCTCCCTCACTGCTTGCTCCAGTAGCCTCCAGACCGGTGGCGAGTTGCGTGCATTGAGTTGTAGTACTTTAATCATGATTCTTGGGCCCACCCTTGGCGGATGGACCGGGCTCAGTGGTGCGGTGGTGGGCCTCAGATGCAGGCCCATCTGCGTGGCTGGCGGTTCCCGGGGCTCGATGGTACTGGCTGCTGTGGCTCCCCATGGCCCGGCAGAACTTGCAGTAAAACTGCGCCGGTACGTACTCCTTGACACGTCGTCCGACAAAGTCAAACATCATCTCTCCGCGCTGAATGAAGAATTGCGCCAGGTCGGGCGGGAGGTAGACGCGACAGGCTCGCGTCACCCGCGATTCTGCCGCCTCCTGCCCCTCTCCGCCTGTTGCCGCCCCCCCCGCGAGGCGCGCGAGCCAGCAACCGGCGCACCCGAAGCGCCTTCAGTCGTTCGGCGTCCTCCGGACGCAGCAGCCGAGCAGAGCCACGCGCCAATGCCGTGGCGACCGCCTCCTCCGAGGCGCGTTGATCAATGCCATACACCACCACCGAGGTGGCGGAGGGGGAGCGCATGGGCTCCGGGATCCACTCGCCCTTGACGCCCGGCATGGGGAATGCCCGGCGGGGGATGTACTGCAGGGCGGCGGCGGTCAGCTGGACCTTCCAGCCGTTCGTCGGAGTTCGATCGACGCGCTCCACCACTGAATGGGGGAGGCGCTCGGTCAGCTCGGGGATGCCGCGGAAGTTTTCCGCAAAGCATTCCCCAAAGCGGTGGGGGTCGATAGGCTTCTTGGCCACATCGGGGTCGGCGGGCTTGAGGAAGATCGTGCGGCCGGCATCCCACTCGAAACGCGGCGGCCTGGGCGCCGGAATGGCGCCGGCTTGTGCCACCACGTCGCTCCATCGGCGCCCACCGGCTGGGCGCAGAATGACGCCCGGGGGGGTCGATTTTGCGGTCGGGTGGGGGGCGCCGCGCGAGGCCTCGGCAGCGCTCAGTGCGCTGCGCAGCTTCTCCGTCTCCATTCCCATTAAGAAGGCCTCAAGGACGCCCATGGCGTCCTCCGCGCGGTCGGCCAAGGCGAGGCCGCGGTCTCCATCCCGTTGGCCTGGAGGCCGGCGCAGCTCTTCGCTCACGGCCCGCAGCGTCTTGCAGACGCGTCCGAACTGCGGGCCCAAGGCCTTCAGCGCGGCGGGGATGGCCTGCGCGGGCCCAATCCCCTCGGCGCGTTTTTTCGTTTTGGGCATGTTGTCCATGCCTTTTGCTCCTCCGCCGCCAGCGCCAACGCCTTGGCTAGCTCCATGGCGCTTTGGCGCCGCCGTTCCCTCGCGTTCATCCGCCGTTCCCTTCCCCTTTCCCTTGCGTTTCCTGGGGCCTGCCGTGGCCCATTCGTCGTCGTCAGAAAGGCGGTCAGAAGCCGCCTCAGAATGCCGATCTCCGCCCCCATAGTCGCTGCCTCGGGCGGAGCCCAAGGCCGGGGGCGTTGGGGCCCGTGCGCCCGCCGAGGATCGCCCTCGCGTAGCCATCTTCGTCGGTGTTCCCACATAGATCTCAACCGCCTGGCTGCCGCCCCTTGCGCCAGCGCGGAGAGGCTGGAAGTCCTCCTCGTCATACTCGGCTGCTAAGGCCCGTCGCCGGGCCTCAAGAACAGCCTTCGTTTCTCCTTTGGAAGCGCCAACCGTCTCCCAAACACTCTTGGGTACATGAACCAGGGTGGTTCGGTTGGGAGCGTCGCCTTCGCGCCTCGAGAGCTCGCGCCACAGTCTGTCCACCTTCTCAGACACTGTGCAGTCGCGGTAGACAACTCCGTAGAGTTGGCACATAGACTTCAGCTTCTGGTCCGTCAATTTCTCCAGGAGCCCGCGAGAAACGAGCTCCATGGCTGCTTGCTGCCGTCCCCAGGGAGGGGAGGCGAGGCGGCGCGCAGGAGGAGAATGTGTGTGTGTGTGTGTGTGTGTGTGTGTGTGTGTGTGTGTGTGTGTGTGTGTGTGTGTGTGTGTGTGTGTGTGTGTGTGTGTGTGTGTGTGTGTGTGTGTGTGTGTGTGTGTGTGTGTGTGTGTTGTTGTTGTTGAAATCCGGTTTTATTACATTAACCGGCTCCGCGGCAACTGAGGCCATGTGGAGCCATCTGAAGCCATGTTCTGTTTTTAGTGCCAGCTCTGTCTCACTCCACTGTCCGTGTTTTAGATCAGAAAACCCCCAGCCCGAGAAGAACGCCCGCGCTCAGAACTCCTGAGCCACCCCAGACGACCGCACCAGCAAAGAAAAAAAGAAGGGAAAAAGAGAGAAAGAAAACAAAAGAAAAGACCCCACACAGTAGAGAAGGGACCGCCATGCACAGCCCTCTCCCTGGTCCACATCATCCTCGTCCTCTAACACATAAGCCTCCTCCGACTCCTCGACATCCCGGTCAAGCCTCCTCAACATCCTCGTCCTCACTGCTGTCCTCGTCCTCCTCCGCGTCCACGTCGACCGCCCCAGCTCGTCCCAGGGCCGCCCGTCCCTCCTGCTCCCGGTGCAGCGTGGCCTCAAGGTCATCCCATCGCCTGTGTCTCCTCCTGGTCTCGCAAAGGAAGCGGGAAAGCCAGAGCCGGCCCCAGCTGGATCCCGTTAGGAAATCCCACTCCCACCCCGGGCAAGCCTCCCCAGCCTGTCGCGTCCGGCCGCTCCACTCCTCGCGAAGCCAAGATGTGAGGCTCTCTCGAAGGTAGCTGAAACGGGTGCAGTCAAGAAGGAGATGCGCCCTGGAGTCTGGGCACCCACACTCGTCGCAGAAGGGCGAGTCCGTCAGACGAAACCGTGCCAAGTAGACGCGTGTAGGGTAGTGTCCTGTCAAGAACTGCGCAACCAATGCCACAGCGTATCGCGAGGGCAGGGCGCGGGTCCAGCGGAGATGAGAACGGAAGACCACATCCTCGGTGGAGTCCAGGACCGTCCCGTCCAAGGTCCTCTCCTGCCTCCTAGCCGTGTCTTGGTACCACCGGCAAATCTCCCGCTCCAGCTGGCGCTTGTTACACCACGTGTCCACAAGCGGAGAAGGACTGTCGCCCTGAGCTGCCCTCCTCGCCGCACTGTCCGCCAGCTCATTCCCAGCCACCCCACTATGTCCAGGGGCCCACCAAAACCGCACCTGCATACCAGCCTCCCAGAGAGCCTGGTGAAGCGCCAAAGTGGTCCACACCGACTCACGACAGCGTCGCCAATGAGAACCGGTCAGTGCCAGCAGTGCAGCCTGTGAGTCCGTGATGAGGGTGGCACTGCCCGGGGAAGGCGTCGACTGTAGCTGCCGGAGAGCCCCCTGAATGCCCCCTACCTCCGTATCAGTACTGGCGAGGAGCGGGCCCATGGGGAGGAGGAGGGTGTGAGATGGATGTGTAGCAGGAAGCTCGTCATGATCATCCCGGAAGAACACCGCAGCCGCCCCATTCCCCCCCCCCTCCATGACTGATCCGTCAGTGAAGATGCACACTCCCCCGCCAGCCTCCATGCAGCTGTCGATGCGATCCTGCGCCTCATCTCTGGCGAGGAAGTCGCAGGGGATCTGGGGAGGGGCCTCCCAGGGGGGGCGGATCCAAAAACATGCGCGGTCCACCCTCTCTAAACCCTCAACCACCTGGGGGTGCGCACGCCTGAGGGCCCTCAGCTCCCTCCTCGCCAAGGCCGCTGTGGAGCACCGTGGGGTGCGGCTGCATCCCCCGTCGTCATCTTCAATGCCTAAGGAAGTCCGGCCATACACCCGCTGCCTGAGCACGAATTGAAGGATGACGTATCGGATGTGAAGATCAGCGGGAAGCCACCCACACGCCGCGATGGCCTTCACCGTGCTCGTAGTCCTGAGAAGGCCAAGGGTGATGATCGCAGACATCCGAAGAACCCTGTCCAGCATGTCCAGCCTGGCCTGCGTCCTGACCACACTGCCCCACGCCACTGCCCCGTACCAGAGACGAGGAAAAACCGTTGCCCCCACTAAAGTGGAGACAACCGTCGGGTGCAGGCCCCAATGTGTAGCACAGAGCTTCCTGATGACTCGAAGACGTTGAAGGCAAGCATTGCAGGTGACCTCCAGGTGCTTCCGCCAGGTCAGCCTGCTATCGATCCAGACTCCCAGGTATTTAATCTCATCCACCTTGGGAATGGTCCGGCCGCCCATAGTCAAGTGTAACGGCTCCACCCTCCTCCGCAGGGTGACGTCCAGAGCCTTGCACTTGGCCGCGTCGAAGATCAGGCCCCATTCCTCGCTCCAATCTGCGATGAAGTCCAATGCAGCCTGCACCCTGCCCGGCGTGCCCTCAGTCGACGAGACAATGTCCCAAATGAGAACATCGTCTGCAAACGCCGATACGTAAATCCGCTGCTTCAGCCCCTCCAGCAGATCATTAATAAAAATAATGAACAGCAAGGGGGAGAGCGGCGAGCCCTGGGGCACCCCCACTCTGACCTGAACTGGAACCTCGAGATCGTTGACGAGGAGGATCGCTGCGCGCTCGGAAAGAAACCCCCTGATCCAGGCCACCAAATACCGGGGCACATCCCACCTCATGAGCTTCCACAGCAGGGCGGTGTGGTCGACAGAGTCATAGGCCGCCTGGATGTCCAGCGCCACGGAGGTGCAGCGATGTCCCCTCTGGAGCGCCATGTGTGCGGCATTCACAAACCGCCAGAGCGCCAACTCGGTGGCCCTAGACTGCCTGAAGCCCTGCTGGTGATCGCTGAGGAGCTGCCTGGTCTCCACAATATAAGACAGCCTGTCTGTGACCAGCCCCTCCAACACCTTGCTCATGGTGTTGATGAGGGCGATGGGCCGATAACCCTTGGCCACAGACAGATCCCCCCCAGGCTTGGGGATCGGGACCACCTTGGCAGCCCTCCATGAAGCCGGGTGCGTGCCCGAGCGAATCAGGCCATTAAAAATGGCTTGAAGCACTGGAGTGATGCTGTCGCTGCACTCCTGAAGACACTTGGCCAGGATGCCGTCCGCTCCCGGCGCGCTGACCGCCCTCATCTCAAGGATCCGCCTCCGGACCTCAGACTCCTGGATCAGAGGAAAATCCCCCCACTCCGTCGCCAGCCATGCGTCAATCTCCGCTCTCCTAGTCGCAGTCCGGTCTCTGAACTCCTGCGAAGACGGGGCCCTAGGGAAGAAGCGTGCCTGGAGCACGCTGGCCTTGTCTGAGTCCTCAACCGCCCACTGCTCTTCGTCCGTCTGGAGATCTGCCACCTGAATCCTTCTGCGGGGCTTGAGGATCCGCTGAAGCACTGGCCACATGTCCTCATGATTGACGGACTCACAGAATCGTCGCCATGCAGCCGCCTTCGCCTTCTTAACCTCCCGAGTAAATTCCTTGCAAGCCCGGCGGTATAGTCCCCTGTCGTGGTCAGTGTCAAGCCGGTCCGCCCTGTTCCTGAGGTGTTTCATACGTCGTCGCAATTCTGTGAGGTGAGGGCTCCACCAAGGCTTGGACGCCCAGCAGACCCTCTTCTCTGGGACATGCTCCTCGATGGCACCCTGCAGCACCTCTGTGAGGATCGTCGTCAGTCTGTCAGCCTCCTCCCGAATCTCCTCCCTCGACGACGACCGCGCATCAGTGCTGCCATCGTGGTCGGACGCCCGCTGAACTCCCCGTGCCCTGCATTCCCGAGCCACCGCCGCACTGAATTGGGGCCAATCCACCCCACTCCAGTCCTTGCACCTGTAAACACGGTTGCTGATGGGGGAGTGGGCCACGGAGAAGCGTATGGCGCGGTGATCAGAACCAGAGAAAAAATCCTGATCCACTCGCCAATCCGCCAAGCCCAAAGCAGCACTGCGGGTAGCCAGAGTGACATCGATCCAGGACTTGTCCCTCCGGTCAGACACGAATGAAGGCGGGGCGTCTGGGTCGTTGATCACCTCCAGATTGTGAAGCATGATAAGCTCCTCCACGGCCTGCCCCACCGCGTTGGTGCGGACATCCTCCGGCCCCCAAAAAGGGCTGTGACCGTTGGCGTCCATGCCAAGCACCATGCGGGGGGAGCGGCTCTGTGCCCAGACCACCGCCCGGCGTAGCTCCTCCAAACCCTCCCCCCACGTGTGACGGATGTAGGCAGAGACGATCACCGTAGACCCAGAAGGCCCCAAGAGCTCGGCTGCTGCGATCCTGGGTCCAAAAGGTTGGACCGTCTTGAACCTCATGGAATCCCTGAGCAGGATCGCCGCAAGGGGGTGCGTAGAGTCAGTGCCCCGCGCCACCACCAGCCGGAATCCTGGGAGGCCCGTCCGCCCCAAGGCCACCGACCGAGGTGGATCCTGGATGAGCAGGACGTCCACAGCCGAACCCTTGTCGACGATCTCTTGATGTGTCAGCGCCCATGTCGTCTCACTCCGTCGACAATTCAACTGTAAAAAAGACAATAGCCTGCCCTCCCCACCCCGGACACCTCTTTGAATGGAGGTGCCCGCCTGCCCGACCTCAGTCTCTGTCATTGGGCGGGTGGGGGTGCGAGACACAAGCACCCGGCTGCTCATCCCTCATCAGTGCACGCCCCCGAGGTGCATGGGGGGCGATCGTGCAGTCACGCGTCTCATGCACGCCCCCACAGCTCCTGCAGCGCGGCGGGTTGCGGCAGAAGCGCGCAATGTGACTCCCCAACTGGCCACAGCGAAAGCATCGCCGCGGCGCAGGTTGGAAAGGCCTGGCAGGGGACCAGCCGAAGTTGAGTACCACCCCACCGTCCTTCAGAATCGCCTCAACCAGCGCGGTAGAAGCCGAGATCTTCACTGCCGTCGAAGGCGTCCAACCCTCCACTGCAGCAGCGGATCTGCCCTTGACGCGCCGATTCAAGCGTTCAACTTGGATGTCCTGCAGATCCGCCTTGGCCACTCCATTCCAGCGGCTGGCGTTGTCGGCGGCCAGCTCTCGCGCAAGGTCAGAGAGGGAGCGGGAAAGGGGGACCCCGCTGAGCACCAAGGACGCGCTCATGAGCCGGCGGCGGGCATCTTCTGCACGCTCCCACCGCCCAAACCCAGGCACATGCACTGGAGCAAGGGTTTTGGCCCGAGCAAGGCCCTCCTTCGTCAACAGGGCTGCATATTCCCCATGACCTGTCCTCCTCACCAACAAGACCGCCTTGGTGCACCCCCACCTGGTCGTCAGGGCACGATCCAGCGCGCGGCCGAACTCCATGACTCGTGTCGCCTGACGCCTGCCTGCCTCCTGGAGAGGCCTCAAAACAATCGCCTTGTTCCAGTCCCATTGGGGAGGGGAGCGCCGATCGGGTGAGGCAGTGCGTCGATCAGCCGCCCCACCCCGGGGCGTCGCCTGACGTCTCTGACGTCCCCAAGTCGTCGGCTGCGCTGTCGGTCTTGAGGCCGCCTGGGCCGGCATCATCGATGACGCCAGCGCCCCCGAAGTCGTCGAAGTCGTCACCAAAGTCGTCACGATAGCCGGGGGCGTCCGAACCACATCAGCGAACGATCGCCCAGCACATGCAGCCGCCTGCGCTCTCGGTACAGCATTGGCAGTTGCGGGAGCCTGTCGAGCCGCCTGACTGAGATCGCATGCAGCAACTCCAGCCACCACCCCCCTCATGATGGCAGTGGATGCAGAAATGAGAGGGGTGAGAGCGAGCAGGTCAGAATCCGCCAAGGGAGCGCCGCCCTTAACCTTGGCGATCAACCCCCCGACCGCCTCAAGCGCCTCCAACACATCAGCTGATGATCTGATCAGCGGGTCGGCAGCCCTCCCCGCAGCCTGCAACGCCCCGTCATGCTGAACCCCCTCCAGCGGAGAATGCCTCATGGGGCGCGTTGGTTGAGGGGCGGCCGCCGCAGGTGTCGAAGTGGCCGGCAGCTGCATGGGGCTGCAGCGGGGAGAGGGGGGGGAGCGGGGGATACTAGGGGTGGGGGTGGGGGTGAGCACACGAGACACCCCCTCCGGCAGCTGCAAATCATCCTCCCTATGCGCCTCAAGCCAAGCCTCCAGATCCCTGACCATGGAGACCTTGGTGTGATCCCGCCTTCTGGGCAGCCCATTAGCAGCGAGGAGGGCCCTCAACGCCTCGTCCGTCAAGGCCAGAAGAACTCCCTTGGCCGGCCTTCCCTCCAAAGCCGCCAGCCTGGCCTGATTAGCCGCCGACATCATGGGGGCTGCTTTAGGTCCACGCGGCTTCTTTCTTCTCGCCCCTCGAGAGGGCGATGCCGGGACAGGGGGCGGGGTGAGCGTGGACGGGGAGGGTGAGGGGCACAGCGGCGCCCGCAGAATCTCCCCAAAACCCTCCTCGATTGCCGGCGCCTCCGAAATTTCCTCATCGAGCTGCAGGGTCGTCAGGAGTTGGAAAGGGTTGCTCACCTCCAACGGAGGAGGGGGGGGCCGCAAAGCCGCAATCCCAACCCCCAGGGAGCGCGGGCAGATCCATCCCCCCTCGATCAGCAGAGGAGGGGGCGTCCCTGCCATCGTCATCGTCACATCCACGTGCACATTCTCCACACTTGCCAGTGACGCCTCCCCCGGGGCATCAGCAGTAGAACGCGGCACCGGCTCAATCCACTGGCGAGGGGCGCTCGGCCCAGCAGGGACAAGCTCCAGAGGCTGGCGTACCGCAAGCTGGAGCTGATGAATCCCATTAGCAGACCTCTCTCCAGAATCCTCAGGGGGTGGGGGAAGAGCCAGCCGCTTGTGAGGCGCGGCCATGACGCGCCCGTGGGGACGATCCCCAGCACCACCAGCCTCCGCCGAAGCCCCAAGGCAGGCAGCCGCCGCCAACTGCCTGGCCATGTCCATGCGAGGGGAATCCGCCAGCCGCTGCCGCTTGACTCCAACGCATGGAGGCTGATCCCGAGCCTCCTGCACCGCCGGCGAGGCTGCCATTTCTGCAGCCCTATCCACGCCCCGCTCAACCGCCCGGCGTCGACGTGCATGGTGAATCACCAGTTTGTCGACCAGAGATCGATCGGAAGCCCCAGGCGGGGCAGACTCCAGACCCGCCATGTCGTAGACCTCGCGAAGGCGACCAGACGGGAGCTCCAACAGCCAGTCTGAGAACGCACTGAGGTTGTCAATAACCGCCTCGTCATCTTCGAGCACCGCCTCCCAGTTGCCGGAATCCTCAGGGTCCTCGTCAGAAGGCAGCATGCGGGAGCCTTCAATGACGACCCCGACGACCTCGACCCGCCCCGAAAGGGAGGCACCCAAGACCGCCCCACCGATCGAGCCCAGCGATTGTCGCGGTGCCCAAACCGCAACGGTACCCCTGCCATGGCAATCAGCCCCCAGCCGCCCCGTCATCCCAAGCAGCTGCCCGGTGGCCGTCCCGCCATCCTCCATGCTCATGGGAGAGCCATCAGGTGGGGGTGACGACCCGCTGACGCCTGAGCTCCAAGAGGCCCGCGGCGTGCAAAAACCCGAGTCGCCCAGCGAAGAAGATCCAACATCCTCTCCCAAAGCAAAGCCCCCTTGTAGGTCGCGCGATCGGCTGTCTTGTGCAGAGGCGTTCCGCGATGTCTGTCGCCCGCATGGGCTTGCCACCAGGCCAAGGTCAGGGTCAGAAGATCGGCCCCCGTCGTCCCGCCCGCTCAAACTGCCTCCAAGGGCCCCGTCGTAGCAAGAATGCACCGCGAAGGGGTGACAGATCACCCCTGAGCCCAGCGAAGAGGAGCCAGAGTCCGCCGATGCGCCAGAAGAGAGAAACACGCTCCCCGAAGCAGAAGTCGAGGGCAGGCCAGCGCTGCCTACCGCCAAGCCCCAGCGACGTCCGCCGCGCCTCGCAGAGTCGTCAGAAACGAAGACCACCACGTCGGGCGCGCCAGCCGAAGTCCCAGGGGGGGCCAAATCCCCTTCGAAGAGGCCCGCCAGTAGCTCTCCGTCGCCGCCGTCTCCAGCCGATCGAGTCGAGGCGCAGGGGCGCCACGGATCGAGGAGCTCATCCACCTCCTCGTCGCAGCGCTCGAGCGCAGGCTGCGCCTCCAGATCCCCAGCAGCCCGCGCAAGCGCTCGAAAGCGCGGTCGATCCGTCGCCCTAGGCGCAGGCCGCGCGGCACTGTCCACAGCATCGGAGCATCCCGCGCGCCCCAGTGGAGGAGAGGGGGCCGGGCCGAAGTGCTCCTCCGCCTCCATGTCGCAGCGCCCAGGGGCGGGCCGCACCACCGCTCCCTGGCCCGCCCGTGCCATGGCCCGGGTGTGAAGACGATCCGCCACCCCCGCCACCGCCGCAATGCGCCCATGAAGGGCCGGTCCAATCGGTGCGTGAGGCTCGCCCGCCGAGGCTTCCGGGGTGGCCAAAGTCCCCTCGTTGAGGCCCGTTGCCAGAGCCGCGGTCGCACATGCGCCAGCCGAGGGACACAGGGCGCGAGTGCTCCGCAAAACAAGGGGCGGCGCCACCACCACGATGCAGTCCCCGTGACCAGGCGATGTCTCCAGATCCCCCACCGCCCGCGCCATGGCCCGGGTGCACGAACGATCCCCCACCCCAGGCGCGAGCGGCACAGTGGCGTCAGGGGCGTCAGGGGCGCCAGGACGTCCCGCACGCCCGATCAGAGCAGGGAGGGGCGGGTCCACCACCACCGCAATGCGCCCCTCAAGGGGCGGTCCACTCAAGCCAGCCGGCGCAAGAGGCATGCCCGCCGAGGCACACGGGGTGGCAGGAGCCCCCACGCTAGGGCCCAATGCATGCGCCTCGAATCCTCGCGCTCCAGCCGAACGAAACAATGCGCGATTGCGCCATGGCTCGAGAAGCGCCACCGCCTCAGCGACGCTACGCCCATGGACCGGCCTCACCTCCAGGCCCCGATCCGCCCGTGCCATTGCCATTGCCATTGCCCGAGTGCGCGGGCGGCCCTCTCTCACTCCCGTCGATTCAGGAACCGCGCGGGGGCGCTGCGGGGCGGGGCATGTCGACACCTCCTCGCCGAGAGTCTCCACACCCAGGTTGGCATCCGAATCCCTGGCCGCCCGCGCCATGGCCCGAGTGCGCGGGCGGCCCATCCTGCCGTGTATAGGCGCCGCCACTCGCCACCGTCTCCCGCGTCCAGAAACAGTCGTCAAAAAGCTTCGCGAGGTCAGAACTTCACCGTCCGGCCGCAGAAAAGGGTGCCGCGATCGGCGACGCCTTCGTCCCGCCGCCGCGAGGCTGTAGCTATTCGCAGCTCACGAAAAAGTCCGCCGCTCGCCGAGTTATTCGCGCTCCAAGCCCCCCGCGGTGGAGGGGGGGCGGCGGCGGCGCGCGGAGAGAATGGTGTGTGTGTGTGTGTGTGTGTGTGTGTGTGTGTGTGTGTGTGTGTGTGTGTGTGTGTGTGTGGAAAATTTCATGTAATACCTTGACTTGGCCAGTAGTCTGACCTGGGTCAATCCATCGTCTAATTACGCTCGAGGTACCCACATTGTCAGGCAAAATTAGTCGTGGGACTGTCCAATCAATAAGCGGATTGACTGCGCTGAGCCAGTTCACCCCTAAAATCATGTTGATGTCTTGCAAAATCGGGGTGATGGTCAAGTCCAGCTTCGCCACCGAGGACCCTACACAGATTGTGGCATGTGGGACTTTGCCTTGGGACAATATCTTTTTCCCATCGGCTAACTCAAGTAGACACTCGTCATGCACATAGTGGAGACCAATTCTGATCACTGCGCTCGGGCTGATAAAACTTCTTGATGCACTACTGTCCACCAAAACCCATGTATCCTTGCCGAAAAATTCGACTGTTCACTATTAATAAAATCCCATCATCGATTGTCCTAATATTGGTACAATCACATGGGGCAGCATCCTGTTGCACAGCAACCCACGTGTTTTTGTCCGGCATGTCTTTCACTGGATCAACCATGTTCACAACCTATTTTGCACAGGGTAGCAATACTGCGCCAATCCTGTACAATGGTGGGTGCGATCCGAGCTGGCACGGTTCCACTACCATGGCTCACCTACGCCGCTAGTCACTCGACCGCTTGCCGGCATTCCTCTGACTTCCTGCATGTTGCCACTTGGCGTCGACGTTGATTCTGTCTGTTTGATTGGTGGCACCGCTTGGACGGATGTCCCCTAACTATTCGTCCTGTTTCCTCTGCGTATGAGGCAACCTCAGCTATTTGCCTAGCCCTTTGTAGTCATCGCCGCTCTTGTTATCTTTGCGTATGACTCTTGCCTTGGTCAGATTCTTACACACTCCTGAAATAAAAATAGTAGACGTCCCAGCATTGGTAGACTGTCCTAAAAAGTCTCGTCGTTCAAAGTCCTCTTTTGGTTTTGCTTTAAGTTTTTCTCCAGTTTTTGATCCGCTCATAGTCCTGCAAATTGGGAGTTGCCCAGCCCTCATCACGTGGAGCCCAAGATAGGGCTCTATATATTTCCCTGAGAGGGTGCTGGCTGGTCTCCAGATGTAGCATGCTGCGGCTATCCATCTTGGAGATTTGGCCCCAATGCTACGGCCATTGTGACACCTTGTCTTCCTCTACCTCTACCTCCACGGCCACATCCTCTGCCTCGACTAAGCTGCTAACCCGCATTTCGCTGATTCTTCCATCGGCAATCATTTGAGTGATGGTTGGTGCCCTGGTAGTGAGGACACACTAGAACAAAGGTCCTGGTCATGCTCTGCTGTCCACCTCATCCAATAATTCCTCGACCTCGTCCTCCACGCCCTCTACGTCCACTCTGCTGACCACCTGCACCTCTCTGCTAACCTCCTCTACCACGACTTGCCTGTTGCGGTTGCTATGTCCTAGCACCCTTATCAATACCATAGGATGCTGTCAACAACTCCAAATGCTCAGCGAAACAGATTACCACATCCAATGATTGTGGCTCCTTCTAAGCCAGTGGCATCCTCAACTCTGGATGAAGAGCACAAACGAATCGTTCAAGTATGTCAGTGGGGTTATATGTCTGAAGTTGCATGAGCACATTTTGACATCTCAAGGCAAAAGAATGCACTCTCTCACCATTACCTGAGTCAAATTCCAGAGTTTGACCCTGGCATTCCTCTCATGTAGAGGGGACTGAAAACGGTTGGTGAGTAAGCCTTCCAACTCCAGCAGAGTCACAGGTCTTCATCCTCATGTAGAGCGCAGATAGTTGTCTCACCAAATCCTGGTTGTCCCTATAACAACATTATGGCATAGGCAACACTCTGGACCTTGCTGATTCCTCTCAAATGAACATAGACCTTCACCATTGAGAACCAAGCAGTAACATCCTCATTCAGCTCTCTTTTGAAGGGGATTGGTTCCCTTGGCTCGACCTGAATTGGTGGTCTAGCAGGGTCCACAGAAAATGACTGGTAGCCTTGGCGTGGGATAGGTCTTGTAAAAGCTGGTGGAGTCAGGGGAATGAAAGGCTGTTGCGGTAGTTCTGGTTTTGATATCAGAATGGTAGGCGTCATAGGATGCGTATAGTCCACAAATGGGGGTGTTGCCACATCCATGCGATATTCTGCCTTCACTTGAGGCAGAATTGCCAACCCCATTTCATCAGTTGTGGGTGCTGCAATGTTGGATATGCGTATTGTGTTGTCGGTGTCCACATGCATATCATCAGGGAAGGTTGCAGCTTCAACAACCTCAATGTAGCCTTGTATTTCTACCATAGCTGTCTGACTCTCCTTCAATAACACGTGTTGTAAGGGGGACTCAAGCTACGAGGTACATTACAAACTGGTTAGGAACATTGTATAATAGGAAAACTAGCTTGGGAGAAAAGCACCATGCATTGTATAATATAAGCCTTCAAGGGAGCATTGTATAATAAAGAAACAAAAGTCGGGACTTAAGAAAGAGTGGTGCATATTAGAAGTGACGACTTGTGGTACTTCTAATACCTTAGACAAGAAGGAAAGAACCAGAAAGGAAGTGCCATGTTGGTCAACATGGTAAGCTACGAAAGGGACGGGCCCACGGGACCAATGGGGTAAGTCAAGATGGGACATAGGGCTGGAAGTGCACCACAGGTAGGGCAGGCTGGTTGAGTCAGCCATGAGGCGAATATAGGGCAAGTAAATTAATGGGCAAGTGTAACAAATTTGAACAGCACTAGAACATTCTGGCAGCGGCCGTTCAGCTGCCTAGTTGCCACCCTTGGGCGGCTACCTCTACGAGGTAGAACAATACAAGTGTAATGAACAAAGTTGCTGTTCCCACTCTCTGCGTCTTATCGCCAGCTCCTCAGTCGAACAGGATAGAATGGGCCATACCCTAGCTGGTGACAGTTTCCACATCAAGCCGCCGCCTCTTACAACTGGTTTTGGAACCAGCGGAGCTGCCGGTGTCAAAATGGTGCTTGGAGAAGACCCGACCCACGGCCACAAGGCAGCAGGTCCCTAAGGGCTGGGACGGCAGAGTACAACCCATGAACAGAGCAGCAGGATGCCAAGAGACATCAGTTGTGTATTGGGCTGCGAAGGGTGGAGCTGGAGAATCGCTGGATGTTGGAGAATGCCAGTTGCAAGGCTGCCCCGAGGGCGCCTATTGGAAGTTGCTGGACGCTGGAGAGCGTCACCTGTGTGGGTGGCCCCGAGGGCGAGAATCGCAGGACGTCAGAGGACGCAAGCTGTGCGGCCTGCCCCGAGGGCGGAGTTGAGGAGCGAGGGTCACCATGGAGAACAAAGATACCGTGTGACTTTCGTTAGTCCAAGATGGTGGAGAAAGTTTGTTGAGGAGCGGCGACAAAAGAGGGCGCCGTTGCCAAGAGATAAGGAAAAGAACCTATTGAGGGGTGAAGATCACTGCAGAGAACAGCGAGAATGCATGGTTTTCATCAGCCCAAGGGGACAAGCTTTGAAGAAGTGCTGGGCGCTGGAGAGCGCAAGCAATGTGGCCAACCCTGAGGGCGTGACGGCCGGGACGTCCAAGACGTCAGAATTGTGTCAGTTGTGACTACCCTGCGGATGTGACGGCTGGACGTTTGAAGACGTCAGCCAAGTGGCCAACCCGAGGGTGAAGTGTTGGACATCGAAAAGGCGTCAGCCAAGACGATAAGATAAGCGTGGTGGGCGCTATATCCCGACAGATTTCGTTGAGGGGCAACGCAAGGGCGCGGGGTTCCAAGAAACGAGGACAAGATCATGGTGGGCCAAGAACATGGCAGCGCATTGGATAAGTGTGCCACCGGGTGGCGGGAAGACAAA